ATACTCACCATACTGAAGGGTAAAGTAGTTCAAACTCCAGGGAGGTAAACCAAAAGAGGGGATTGGACATACTTAAAGTGTCCACAGGCGTTTACCATCCGAGTAATATGAGATTTATGAGTCCTGACTTTCATTTGTTACAACAATATTGCACTACTGTCTTGTATTTATATGATTACAGATATATACTGAACATCCATGTTAGAAGCGCCACCTTATGTATGTATGTTTAATTGTATGCTATAAGAAGCTGCTATCCTTAAGGGCTCTTTTACCGATTTGGGCTTATAATTGCGATTGTTGCACATTTATGTATTGTGCCATGGGGATGAAGCCTGTTAAATCACAAGGGAGCATAGATCCCCCTGTGCTCCCATCTGTGGGCATTGGTTGGGGGCTATTTAATAACTGAAAAGGTGGGGCAGCTTAATGTACACTCCTCCACCATCTGTTTTAAGCAGCTAGGACTAAACATAATATTCAGGGGTAATAACGTTATGTCCTCCCATGACCCAACAGATTAAACTCGGTCTTTGATATCTGCATAACTTGAGCTACAGTATCTAATTTACTTGGCATCTTTATTTGTTGTACCTGGTGTGAAAGGATCCATTGCTATTGCTTTTGCTCATTCTTTAGAAGCATATCTACATACAATTCCTCTACTGTGCTTTCATTCAGCATGCAAACTTGCCTTTCTGTGCTTTTGTAACAGTGTGCATAATGATTTGGTTTACCATTAATTACAGGTCTGTCCAGCCGCAGGGCATTTAATTGGTTGATGTTCCGTACCACTTTGTTTATAAAGCTTTTGCTTTTTATCTATATCCACTTTGTTTCCTTTTGTTCTTTAAATCTTTTTTTCTCTATTTTATTTTTTTGCTCACTCCTTTTCAGTTGATCTACAGTGCATGTCTCAGTAATTAGCTCTTTGACTTGTGATTTAACAGTTTCAGCTACTCTACCCAATATTAATGCCTTCCCGATTCAGGTCTTGCTCTCTGAGTATTTAATTTGTATTTCTTGCTTTGTATCCACAGAACCAGAAAGTCTAGTGAAAATCAAACCTCAGATACTTTAAAAAAAACTAAGTAGTTACATAGATTCCCCTTATATCAAAACTATTCCCCAGACATGTAATCACCTAGTGGGTCAAATGAAAGAAAAATAAAATGAGTGTTTTTCCATTTAAGGCTTTATTAGCTTAGTGTACCAATAAGAGATCACCTATGTATAGTGTCCTAATTATGTTAACATGATTGAACTATTGATCTAATATATTAATCAGTATATTAAAATTACTTTCAAATGAGTAGTCACATCATCTCCAATTTAGTAAACCCCAATTCACATAAAAATGTAGGACCTTTGTCTTAATTAAATTTAAATATTATTTACATTTTACCTCTTATTAATCCTCCTCCAGAATATATAGAATAAAACAAATAAGAGATAACCCTAAACTATTGTAGGATTAACAGAATAACACTCTACATAGAATGCTTAACCATCTACCTTGGTAGGTAGTAAGATAAGATTTATTCCAAAAGGTATGTACTTAGTCTATAGTGGGAATCTAGTAAATTAAGAAAGTTAAAGAGAGGGGCAGACAAACCTCGAACACCAGGAAAATGGAATACGGGACCTACAATACTACAGAGTAACGACTCTGTTCTGTTAGTGCTATAATAGCCTAGGTATTGTTCTTTAATTCAAAACGTAGTTAATATTTTAGTTAATTTAGTTATATTGTGTATTTGTTAATTTATGCAATTTTGAACTCTTCCTGTGTTAATTGGCAGTTGGGATGGGATTTTTGTGCCATTATAATTATTATTATTAATAATAATTTTTGTGTTATTTTGTTAAATGGCTTCAGTCAACTTTTTTAGGTGAGGACCATAACATTACTTTAGCACGACCTTGTTTAACCCCGGATGCAATTGTACACATTCACAAACCCTAGACAAACTTAGCGTTCATATTTGTTTTTAGCGTTTTTACACACAAACTGCACTTTCACTGATGATATCATTGTCTTGATACATTTTACTGTTTTAAAACACTCATATTTGTGTACAGTGAAGTCTGACAAGTCAAACAGTGCCTCCCATGCACAGGTTTTATGGTGTTTTAAAAAGTTACAAAGTTAAATATAGGGCTTGGAAGTCAAATTATCTGGACTTTCTGTCTTGATTTTCAGGCAAGTCCTTCACATTGTAATTAGTAAAATGACATAATTACGTGAAAAGATTACAGAAGTATATAAATTTTCAAAGTTTATAGGGCCACTATAGTCACTAGAACAAATACAACTTATTGTATTTGTTCTGGTGACTATAATCATTCCCTTCAGGCTTCTTGCTGTAAACACTGTCTTTTCAGAGAAAATGCAGTGTTTACATTACAGCCTAGGAATACCTCCACTGGCCACTCCTCATATGGCTGCTAGTAGTGCTAGAGAGCACTGCCACTCAATATTTCCACTTTCTTGCATTAACTTTCCTCATAGAGATGCATTGATTCAATGCATCTCTTTGAGGAGAGGCTGATTGGCCAGGGCTATGTTTGACCTGTGCTGACTCTGCCCCTGATCTGCCTAGTTGACAAGCTCAGCCAGTCCTATGGGAAAGCATTGTTATTGGCTCAGAGAATCACTTCTGATTATGTCAACCAAGCAGGCAGGTCAGGGTCAGAGTCAGCAGCTGCAACCTTGAGTAAAAGTAAGATTTTACTAAATTTAGAGGGTGGGGGAGGGGGGAGGGGTGCTAGATGGTGGTTGTAACGGACTGTTTTGCCCAAAAGAGGTTAAAAACCGTTTAGGCGATATTCCCCTTCTTCAGCTCCACCGACAGCTACTGCAAGCACCAATCTCCTGAACTGCAAACCCACAAATTCACCAACTCCCTGACTGCAACCAAGGGAATACTCAAAACTCCCGAACTGCATACCAAGGGAATACTCAAAACTCCCGAACTGGAGACACACGAATAGCTACTAGCAGACGAACAGGAAAAGCCCCCAAGCGGCTTACACTCCTGGCAATCAGTCTCTAACAGCATACAGTAAATCCTCCCCCAATAATGAGACGACACTTCACTTTGAGGGTTAAGCAGGAACTGATTTACTGGGGCTAACTGCCCGGCTTTTATGCAGGTTTCCCACCTGGTGGACACTCCCCTAGGGGACCAAATGGGAGACTGGGACACAAAGGGTAAAAGGACCAATCACCGACTTACACATTTCAACCATCCCACAATGCATCACAATCCCTCCTCTCTGCCCTGGAGATAATTGGGATGTAATTCAATTATCTCCAAAGACAGAGGCAAAACTCCATTAACCACATGACAGAAAACAAACAGTAAAAGACATAAAATTACCTACAGTTACCTTCAGTACATAAAACATATACGTTCTACATATCCCCAGATAGCTCAAGTCTGAGCGCACATTATTAAGCGAATGGCGCTCAGACCACACGAATACAGTTTAATTGCCATGGAGCCAAAGTCTTTACACAGTCAGTTTCATGCGAATGGGCTCCATGGGATTCCTATCTTGGGCACAACACACTCAAACAAAACTACCGAACACCGGGCCATTTGTGCACTTCCACCGAACAAGAAGGGAGGTCGGCGGCTTCAGCAGTGTTCGCGCAAAACTGTGTCCGATTTCAGTTCCATGAATTAAGCGTCGAACACCGCTGTGCATTCGCATGATTAAAATGGCCGCGACCTCGTGTTCGTGATACAAATGGCGGCCACCCAGCATTCGTCAATTAAGCTGCGGTTAACCGCAGCTTTAGGGAGGTTAATTGCCGGCACACTCCAGCTCCCAGGTGGTCTATTCATTCGTGCGGTTGTTCGGTAGATTGAATCTACCGAACACCCGGCAGAAAAGCACGAATAAGTCTTTTCTGCAGAGAAAAAAAGATGTCTTTTAACATGGGGCCATAGTCCAAAGGCAGCAGGCGAGCAACCAGGCTTCTCCAGTGTACAGTGGCGAGGTTGGTTTCGCCACAGTGGTTTTAACACTATAGCATCAGGAATACATGTTTGTGCTCCTGACCCTATAGTGTTCCTTTAATATTAATAGAAAACATATTTTATGATGAAGATAACAATTTTGGGATTGTTGCACTCCTGTGAATTTATCATCTGTATGCCACATAGCTAGCCATGCTCTTGACCTGTATGGTGAGAAAATCTTTTTTATGTTGTTGTTTTTTTCTCTTCTTAATATTCACATCATATTCACGAGGCCATGCGTTTAGACTGGAAGAAAGAAGATTTTGTCTAAGGCAAAGGAAAGGTTTTTTTACTATAAGAACAATCCGGATGTGGAATTCTCTGCCTGAAGAAGTGGTTTCATCAGAGTCCATACAGATGTTCAAACAGCTACTAGATGCATACTTGCAAAAACAGAATATTCAAGGATATAATTTTTCAATGTAGGGTAATAACTGCTTGATCCAAGGAAAAATCTGACTGCCATTCTGGAGTCAAGAAGGAATTTTTTTCCTAGCTTGTTGCAAAATTGTGCTTCATACTGGGTGTAACGAGAATATACCCCTACACGCAGGATCCAGCTAAACAGAGGCAAATACAGAGGAGAGATATGTCTACCGGACCTTAGAATGGCCGGACTCGACGTATATGAGAGAAGAAAGAGCCAGGAACAAACCGAGGTCAAGGGCACAGAGAGACAGCGTAAACTAGGACAAGCCGGGGTCTGGTACACGGAAAACAGCAAGCCGGCAAACAGTACAGATAAGGATAAAGCGAAAACGAAGTCAGAATACGAAGCCAAAGTCAATACGAGAAAACACAACTGAACACCACAAGCGCTAAAGGGAACTGAAACAGAAACCACGATAGGGCAACGAGCTAAGGGAAAAAGGTAAGTTTAAATAGCTTTAAACGAAAGTGATTGGCTCCTGTCACTTCCACACCCCCTATAGGTAATTGTACAGGGAGTGTGGTATGACAGGAGCCAATGGGAGCCTTTTGGCAATTAGGCTCCCACTGTCTCTTTAAGAGCGCGCCCGAGACTCGCGGCGCGCTCTTAGTTTCAGGCGGGACACGTGACCGCCTCACGCGGTCACTGCCCGCCTTCCATCTGAAGCAGTTGGATGAGCCGCGCGCGGCTCGTGCAGCCGCAGGACCGCGCGCGGCTTGAAGAGAGGACCGCGACCGGCCCCCGGTTAAGGTAAGTAACGCTACAGTACCCCCCCCTGAGGACACGCCCCCCGGGCGGGTAGGACCAGGCCTGGCAGGAAAACGAGAATGGAAAGAGCGCACAAGACGGGGAGCATGGACAGCATCAGCCGAAATCCAACTGTGCTCCTCAGGCCCATAACCCTTCCAATGTACCAAGTACTGAAGTCGACCCCTAAGGAAACGAGAGTCAAGAACAGCAGACACTTCAAACTCCTCATGACCCTCCACCGAGATAGGAGGGGGAGGAGGAGTATGCCGGGTATAGCGGTTGCGTACGAAAGGTTTCAACAATGAGGTGTGAAAAACATTAGGAATACGTAGATTCTTAGGCAGGCCTAAGGCATAAGAAACAGGATTAACCTTATGTATAATACGATAAGGTCCAATGAAGCGGGGAGCCAATTTCATAGAAGGCACCCGGAGACGAATATTCCGCGTGGAAAGCAAAACCCTGTCCCCCACAACATAGGACGGAGCTGCTCTGCGATGCTTGTCAGCCTGAGCCTTCTGGCGAGTAGCAGAGTCCACCAAAGAACGCTGAACCTGCTCCCAAGTATTACGCAAACCAGCCAAATGCTCATCCAGAACTGGCATGCCCTGTGAGGAGAATGCAGCCGGAAGAACAACGGGATGCTGGCCATAGACAACGTAAAAAGGGCTCTTGCCGGAAGAATCATGAGTGGCGTTATTCCGAGCAAATTCAGCCCAAGGAAGCAGGTCAGACCAATTGTCCTGATGGTGAGACACAAAACAACGAAGGTATTGCTCCAGAGACTGGTTGGCACGTTCAGCAGCCCCATTAGACTGGGGATGATAAGCGGAAGAAAATGAGAGAGAAATACCCATTTCTGAACAAAAGGCCCTCCAGAACCTGGAAATAAATTGGCTACCCCTATCGGATACAATAGATACGGGAATCCCATGTAATCGAAATACTTCTCTAGCGAAGATATGAGCCAGTTCCTTGGATGTGGGCAACTTGCGAAGAGACACGAAGTGAGCCATTTTGGAGAACCGATCCACTATCATCAGGATCACTGTGTTACCATTTGAAGGGGTAATTCAACAATAAAATCCATGGACAGGTTAGACCAAGGTCTCTCGGGAACGGGTAACGGATGCAACAGCCCACAAGGAACTCTACGGGAGGATTTCATACAGGCACAAGTAGTACAAGCACTTATATAGTCAGTGACATCCTTTCGTAAGGAATCCCACCAAAAATACCGAGAAACAGCTGACACCGTTTTGGAAATACCAGGATGTCCAGCGGTCTTAGTATCATGATATAATGACATAATATCCCGTCTCTCAGGAACATCAACGAACAGTTTATCATTAGGCCTCTCGCTAGGTGCCATGCTTTGTTTCGCTTGTATGGTCTGCAAGAGGGACGAGGAAATAGACAAAATAGTAGTAGCTATTATCCTGTCTGGGGGAATGACAGGAGTAACATCAATCTCCTGTTTGTCAGTAGTTTCGAACTGTCTGGACAGAGCGTCTGCTTTAGTGTTGCGATCACCTGGCCTATAGGTGATAATAAAATTGAAACAGGACAAAAATAGTGACCACCTAGCCTGCCTGGAAGACAATCTTTTGGCTTCGCTAAGGTAGGATAGGTTCTTGTGATCCGTAAAAATGAGGATAGGATCCTTAGTTCCTTCTAACAAATGTCTCCACTCTTTAAGTGCTAAAATAATAGCAAGGAGTTCGCGATTACCCACATCATAATTTTTCTCTGCTTTGGACATTTGTTTAGAAAAGAAGCCGCATGGATGCAATGGCTTCTCAGGCGACTCTCTTTGGGATAAGACAGCACCTACCCCAATATCCAAAGCATCAACTTCAAGAATATAGGGCAGTGAGGGGACAGGATGCTGTAAAATAGGTGCAGAGGCGAACGTAGTTTTAAGAAATTCAAAAGCCTGAAGTGCCTCGGTAGACCAAACACAAGTATTGCCATCCTTTTTAGTCATACGGGTAATAGGTGCTACAATGGACGAGAAACCTTTGATAAAACGTCTATAATAATTGGAGAACCCAAGAAAACGCTGAATAGCTTTCAGACCTAGAACCCTGTTTAATTCTCATTAATGCTCTTGCGGCATTCTTTGACCTTTTCATTGTGTCAAAAGTTCTACGAAAAGCCGTAAGAAAACTGTTGAAATCATGTACCATAGGTCCATTAGCTTCCCAAATAGGATTTGCCCACTCAAGTGCCTTATCGGTAAGTTGGTGCATAAAGAACCCAACCTTAGACCTCTCTGTGGGAAATGAACGTGGATACATTTCGAAGTGAAATTCAATCTGATTAATAAACCCTCTGCAAGTCTTAGAGTCCCCTCCATACCTAGGAGGAGGTGTTAAATGGGCCGAAGTATTAGGCAAAGTAGATACTTCAGGGAGAAGGGGCGTAGGAGGGTTAGGTGTAGTTGCTGGAACGGTTCTAGCTAGGAGCGTCTGGAGAGCCTGAGCTATTTGATCCATACGGTGATCCTGCTCTACAAATCTTGCCTCATGGGACGCCATCTGTTGAGCTAAATCTGCGGGGTCCATGGCCCTATCGTAATGTAACGAGAATATACCCCTACACGCAGGATCCAGCTAAACAGAGGCAAATACAGAGGAGAGATACGTCTACCGGACCTTAGAATGGCCGGACTCGACGTATATGAGAGGAGACAGAGCCAGGAACAAACCGAAGTCAAGGGCACAGAGAGACAGCGTAAACTAGGACAAGCCGGGGTCTGGTACACGGAAAACAGCAAGCCGGCAAACAGTACAGATAAGGATAAAGCGAAAACGAAGTCAGAATACAAAGCCAAAGTCAATACCAGAAAACACAACTGAACACCACAAGCGCTAAAGGGAACTGAAACAGAAACCACGATAGGGCAACGAGCTAAGGGAAAAAGGTAAGTTTAAATAGCTTTTAAACGAAAGTGATTGGCTCCTGTCACTTCCACACCCCCTATAGGTAATTGTACAGGGAGTGTGGTATGACAGGAGCCAATGGGAGCCTTTTGGCAATTAGGCTCCCACTGTCTCTTTAAGAGCGCGCCCGAGACTCGCGGCGCGCTCTTAGTTTCAGGCGGGGCACGTGACCGCCTCACGCGGTCACTGCCCGCCTTCCATCCAAAGTAGTTGGATGAGCCGCGCGCGGCTCGTGCAGCCGCAGGACCGCGCGCGGCTTGAAGAGAGGACCGCGACCGGCCCCCGGTTAAGGTAAGTAACGCTACACTGGGTTTTTTTGCCTTCTTTTGGATCAACAGCAAAAAACAAATGTGAGGAAGGCTGAACTTGATGTACGCAAGTCTCTTTTCATAGCTTTTTAACTATGTAACTATGTGACTATGTAATATTATAAAATGTTGAGACTTTTTTTAGAGGAACACTCCAAGCACCATAGCCATTACAGTGTTCTGTAAGTGGTCAAGGTGTCTTAAATATAGCTTTCTTTCCTCAGGCTCCACACTTGCACTATTTTCACAAGAGAACCAATAGTTCCTTACAAAACAACCACAGAAAACACCAACAACCATAAAATAAACATAGGGTAAGGAGGGAGGGAAAACTGTTCCAGCCTGTTCCTGCTGCATCTGCTGAGTACCCTCCCCTCTACACCACTCCTTATACCATCCCATCTGTGACGAGAGCAATCTCGCCACATTGCATTGGAGAAGCCTGGTTGCTCGCCTGTTGCCTTTGGATTATGGCCCCATGTTAAAAGGCTTGATTTTCCCCTGCAAAGACAAGAAAGCCGGGTCATTTGGTGCTTGCCCTGTTTGAGCAGTGATACCCCAGATAGCTATGCCATGGAGCCCATTCGTATAATGAAAGACTATGGGAAAGACTTTGGCTCCATGCCAATTGAACTGTATGTGTGTGCTCTGAGCGCCATTCAGTAATAATGTGCGCTCAGACCTAAGCTATCTGGGGATATGTTGCATGTCTGTATTTTATGTGTTACAAAATGTAATCCCTGAAGCTTTATGCCAGAGCTTGGCTCTAAAAGTCTTTGCTGTTAAAAGCTCAATGAAAGTTTTGCCTCTTGGAGATATTTAGATTACTTTAATACCTCCTGATAGAAGACTCTGTGGAACTGGTTTTGGGCAGAAAAGTCATGCTTCCTGTGGTCACAAAGGACTACGATCTATCTTTTGAACCACTGGACCAATTTGTATGATTTTGACGTATGTTTGTATTTGGAGTATGCTGATTCTGAAAATGTATGTGAATGTGATGCATACTTTTCAAGTTATAAATAATGTGGAAAAATTGTATTTCTCTGCTTGTGCTAAATTACATTACCCATTGTGTAAGGTAATTGAATCACAAGCAGAGGGGAGGAATTTGTGTGGGAGTGTCTGAGTGTATTGTATGTGTTTTTATTGGTTGTTTTCCAAAACCCTGTAGGTGGTACTAATGTGTAAGAATGTGTACATAAGAACAATAAACCCACAGCTCTGTCTGTTCACTGCTTGACCCTCAACACGGAGCTTTGTCTCGTTCTTGGGGGATTTACTGTATGCTGTTCCAGTTTGACTGCTAGGAGTGTAAACCTATTCGTATGGTTTTCCTATTCGGCTGTTTACAGCATTCGTATGGTTTCCTGTTCGGCGGATTGGTGTTCTGCAGTAGCTGTGCCTGCATCTCTGGAAGGGGAAGATCTTCTAAACGGCGGTTTAACCCTTTTATGCTGAGGGTGCCGTTACACCATCTCTCTGCAACTTTGTATCTATCTCTATCCCACTCGTTACTGCAGGGCAGCAGTCATGCCTCCCCTTCCTTACAGTCCATGGGATCCCTTGACTGCTGACCAGATAACATACTCCTTACCCCCCATTAATGACTTGACGCCTCAGTACATGATAAGGGCAACTGCCACAGCTTTATTGATTCAACTTTTAAACACCACCAGCATTATTACCACCTGTGAGCTATTGGGGTGACTATCCAACAGACAGATAAAACCTTGTATTTCCAGTGTTCATACAGCC